TGCAGGGCAAGTCAGATAAGTCCTTCACTGTGCCTGTGTCAGGATTTCATAAAACTCTTGTGGTACCTCTCAACATTCTTATGAGGTAGGTTTATCCCTAGTGGACACCAAAGGTACTGGATGCCTAGAGGACCCTGCCCTAAACCCCTGCCAGCTGGTGGCCCATCTGGGGTTCCTGTGCCTAACTCTTATTCCATGCAGACACCAGCCTCCTCTTCCACAATAGAGTGGAGTTTATATCCACACGAATGCCACAGGATTCTGCTGCCTTCATAGTCAGAGAGGATTTAATCCTGAAACAACAGAGTCAGAGCCCTGCGTTCAAAGCAAAGGGCTCAGGCACAGTTCTCATCAATTCCAAGGCTGCTGATGCACAAACAAACATGTTAGCATTTGTCACGGAGAAGAACATTTACCAAAGACCACATGGCAGCACACAGCTCACTCAAAACACAGAGGTCAGTGGTCAGTGCTGGAAAGCACTTTCACCCTGTCCTTTCCTTTCTAGCATCATGAGGGGAATGTCCCTGTCACCAGTGAAGTCACAGGAAATCTTAGTCCACAGGCACTGTGAGAGGCTCCTGATATGTTATTCAAGCCTCACGGCATTAAATAATTGAGCCAGGCATTATTATTACCTCCACTTTACACCACAAATTTAAATCCCAGAGTTATACTGAAACTATCCAATCAACTGGCTTTTCTGGTGTTGTGTAAACACACTTGTCTACCAACTTACTTTTTTCACCTAAACAAGGCATTCCACTGACAGCCCTTGCTGGTTCTCATCACACTGGGGCATATACATACCAATACTGACAATTCTAGTACCAAGGTTCTCAAAACAACCTTTCCTCAAAACTATTCCACAGGTTAATTTTTCTGTTTTTTCTTCCTTTCATCCCCCTCCCTGCAACAACAACACAGGGCTGTGAACACTGAGGACTCAGGGGAAGGAAATGAATGTCTAAACAGAACTTCAACTGTGATGAAACTCCAGACACATACAGAGGTGAGGCAAATGTGCCCTGTGACCCTTACCAGAAAGTTTCAAGATGAGGAAATGAGGCCACCTTGCACTTCCATTGCAGAAACCCCTGCAGGGTGGGCTCTGTACAGGGGCACTTCAGTTACTTATCTCCACGGAGCTTTTGAAGGGCTAAGCATAAGCAGTGTGGAAGAAGGAGACTTATCATAAGCAGTAGCTGGCGGGCAGAGAAGGAACGGGAACAATGCACCTTTATAAGTACAGGAGACTCTTGAGGTGGCTGTGACTCAGCTCAGAGTAGCTCCAGAGAGATGAAGCACAACCTTAGAATCCTGGGGCTCACAGAGTCAGGCTGCTTAAAGAGGGTGGACTTCTTGGGATCCCATCCCTATGGGACATCCTGGGAAACCCTCAAAGTGCACAAGATCCACCTACAAAGAGTTCATGGTGCAGATTTTGGAAGCATTCCTTTTCCTTATTGAGGCCTGCCCATCATGGACTCCATTTTTGTTGTACTACAAGGGTAGCAAATCAAAATTTCCTCAAAGGACAAGTGACTCTCAACCTATCTTTGGTTATCCCATTTTTGGATACACTAGGGGAGATTTTAGGGAGCAGTGGAGATGAGAGGGAATTGGACTGCATCACCCTTCCCTAAAGGACACAGTTCCAATATTGCCCTCCAGAATTCTTAGGGGCAGAATATTTGACTTTCAACACAGGCTGTTTTCTTTTTCTTTTTCTTTTCAGTTCTACTCTGGCCTGATCACACGTGTTTCAGTTGGTTGGATGTGGCCCACGCCTCCAGAGTCACCAGTCAGGATGTGGTGAAAGAGTTTGCCTGCACTAACTAGCTCTTGGGTGTGCAGCCCTGGTGCCTACTGAAGGTATACAACTGAAGATGCTCAAAGTACTGCAGAGTCCTGCAAAGCTAAGTTGAATCTTGGCTTTGTTTTTACTAGCTGCAAGCCCTCAAACAAACTAGTAACCGATCACAATTCCCATCGGAAAAAAAGGCTGGAATACCTAATTCAAGAGAGATTTGTGAGCATTAAAAATATGTGACTTGGTGTGGTGGTGCACACCTGTAATCCTGGCACTAGGGAGATTGAGGTAGGATTGTAAATTGAGACCCTATCTCAACTCCCCTCCCCTGGAAAAAAAACACGTGAAGACTATTGTAAACACAATAAATGTTAAATTTCCTGCCATACCGCTAAAGAAATGACTTAAATTTTAGCCTCCTTAGACTTCAATGTTCCCATCTGCTAAAAGCCAAAATAACTAGCCTTACTACCACTCCACATCACAGAAGGAGTGAGGTGATGCAGAAAGCAGAGTGCTTACAAATGTAGAATACCAACACCCATTCCTCTCTTTCTAGGTCAAAAAAAGAACAATTTGCTTTTCTAATGTGTTTACCCCCTTCAATAACACAAAGTGGGGAGAAGATAGTGTCACATTTGTGCTAATTCCTTAAAATGGCTTTTAGCAATTAACTCTCCAGAGTACAACTCCATCATCCAAGAGAGGAAGCAACATTAGGTTCCTGCCTGGTCACTTAAGAGCCTGCAAGTTTCTCCATACTCTTATTTTAGGGAACTAGAGAGAAAACCGAGGTAGAAAATAAATTCACTTAACAGTTGCATATTTCTTTTATGCCTATAAAGACAAATGAACCATAAGCCAAACATTTTCACTGAAGGACTACCATGAATTCCTCATGATATTTTCAACCATGAAAGTTGAAAATATTTTTCCCACACACTGCTGTGAAACTGGGGAAGTAGGACATGCTGTGGAGTATTCCTCAACTGAATCTTAAAACATCTTTACAACTTCTAGCTGGTGGTGCAAGCCTGTAATCCCAGCTATACAGGAGACAGAGGTAGGAGGATCCGAGGCCAGCAGGAGCACAGTTATGGAGAGATCCTATCTGAAAAACTTAAAGCAGAAAGGGTTAGGGTGTGGCTCAAGTAGTAGAGTGCTAGCAAACCTGAGGCCAGGCTAGAATTCAATTCCCAGTAGTGCAAAAAGAAAAAAAAAAATCTTTACAACTTTTTTTACACTAGTGAACCTACATGAGCAAGGTCTAGGATGAGTGGATTCATCTCACACTTCAACTTTTACCTGTCACAGCTATAATTTATTTGGCTTGTTTTCTTTTCAAATTGGACTGGTGGAGTGGCTCATGTGGTAGAGTGCCTGCCTACTAAGCGTGAGGCCCTGAGCTCAACCCAGTAACCACCAAAAAAAAAAAGATAGTCTCTTTTGGAATCAAAGAGGCATTAGATTCAGTTGCAATGAAGCTACTAAAACTGTAGGTTTATCTTTCAGGAGTACGCCTCCCCTTCCTCTGCATTGAACTTCAAAGGCGTCCTGTCTCAGAACACTTTTACAAATAATTAACAAAGCATGACAGATGGAGTAGGAATTATAAGATAAATCATGAGAAAAAATTAATTGGAGTAGATAAATATTACCCCTCCCCCAAGCAGAGTTCTTGGAAAAGAATGGTCTGCACCACACAAAAAATTTTAGGAGTCAGTTCTTTGCTAATTAATTATACAATCCCTGAAGTAGATATGAAAACAAACAACACAAATCTTTTTTTGAACATTAAGTAGATCTCCACTTATCCTCTGCTGTTAGGTAAACCTTTCAACATATACAATAGATCCAGAAGTGTACACATCTGCTTGCTACTTTTTTGGTGTTGTTCAGTGTTGGGGATTGAACCCAGGGCCTGGAGCTAGGTGCTCTACCGCTGAGCTGAGCCCCCAGGCATGGCTCCTGCTTTTTGATGAGTGTAACTTGGAAGGGATTTGGACAACTGGGGAAAACTGCTAACACGATTCATACAACCCAACCGGCCTGGCTGGAGGCAGCATAACCCACAGGCTTGCTAATACCCTTTGTGTGGAAAAAGCTGACCCAGCATCCACCTGCATCAACTTGATCCACTCAGCTCTGACACCCTCAGCAAACACCTTCTGCACTTTGAGCAAAATCAGTCAGTACTCAGGGATAAAAAGTCATCTTTTTCTCCCTCTGGAGAGGTGGCCTTGACACCCAATTTACAAAAACCGAGGCTCTGTGGAAGGCCTGAAGTCTAGACTCACCTAGTGTGCCAAACCTACCTTCTGCACAAAAAGCTGCAGTGTTGCTACTTTTAAAAGAATATGCCCAACAGGGTAAGGACTGGCAAACGCATCATCTAGCTTCGACTATTAATCCATGGCCAGTTTCTCATCTTGCTCCCTCATTGCTCTGTTAGCAGAGCTCCACACACTGTATTATTTTGAAGCAAGCCACCAACTTAATTTCAATTTCCGTCAGTAACCAAAAGGTTTTTTTTTTTAAAGACTACAGTCACTAACACAAAGGTAATATTCATCAAACAAGTACAAATTTCCTCCGTAATCTCGATTTTTCCAAAGCGTCCACAAATTGTATCTCTTAAATCGCTTTTATATCACGGGTTACCAGTCCTGGAGTCTCATAGCAGCCAAGCCGATCCCCACTGGCAATTCCCAATAACTAATAACTCTTTCCTGGGGATGCCACAAACAAAGTCCAGTCTGCCCTTGCCAAACACGAGACAGGCAAGCAATCACTTACGAGTCCTTAGAGGCAGTGCGAGTTATCTGGGATTTGCGCAACACGCCCCTTACCCCATCGTTTGCACAAGCGAGGAACCCAGCGGGTGCGCTCCCTTCCCCCCCCCACCCCGGCGCCGCCTTATCTGTGTGGATGCCTCCCGGATGCTGGGGCCCACCTGCCACCACCTGCGCAGGTGAGAAAAGTTGCTTCAACCACCGAGCTCCCGAGGGCGGGCCCAGGTCATCTAGAGCGAATTTCGAGTCAGCTGGGCTGGTCCAGGAGGAACCACCAGCACCTCCAGAACCAGCAGCGCTGCCACGCGTGTGCGCCATCGCCATGGCCCCAGGTCAGAACTGGGGACGCAAAATCGATCCCCACGACCGCGCGCGCGTGTGCACGTGACAGTCACCTGTGTGCGGGGAAGGAGAGCGAGGAATCACACACGGGCGTTTCTGTACCGCCACGGGTTCTCACTGCTTAAACACCGGCTTCCCGGGAAGGAGAGGGCGTGGTGAGTGTGCACCCCATTCGGATCTGCTGCCCCCAGACCACCGCGGACTGTCGCCAGGGCTCCTCGGGCTCCCACCCTCAAGCAGGGAGGCTCGCGCGTCCGTGGCCGCACTCGTTGGCGCCTTGAGTAGCAGCGACCCCAACTCCTGTCATGGATACCCTCTCCCGTCGCGCCCAGCGCCGGGTCGGGGAAGCCAGTCGCGGGGCGGTGGCCGTGGACCGCTCAGCCGCGGCGGGCACGCCGGCGGCCTCCACCCGGTCCTTACTAACCGCAGCTCGCACTCAACGTCTGCAGCGCCCCGCGCCCCGCCCGACACCGCGAGGTCGCCGCCCGGACACCTGCCGCGCCCCGCCCCCGTGGCTGTCCGAGAGGGGCGGGGTCGCGCGTCCGCCCCGCCCACCTTCGCTCCGCCCCGAGTGCACCACGCCGGAGACCCCGCGGGGGGCCCCGCCGCGGCTTAGCTGGCTCCGGACGGCAAAAGCCGTCGAGTGCCCTCGAGTGCGCACGCCCCGTCTGGGCCCCTGGCTGGAGTCAGGCCATGGGCGCCCCCTGCCGGTTAAGTGTGGAGAGGTGACGGAGGCCGCCATCCCTAGACGACTAGAAAGCGACTGGGTTGAGCGAACTCAGGCTGGCAAGAGGGGCTTACTGAGACCCTCTCCCCGTCGTGCCAGGCCTTGAGGACCCTGCCCCAGCCCGACGAGCTCTCCAGGTCCCTAGCAAACAGGGAGTCTTCTCTTCCCTAACCAGTTTCCCAAGTTGACACTCGGCAGTTGTGTCCAGAGGAGGATACACACAGGGTGACAGAACTTGAAAGTTGTGTGCCACTGAGTAACCGAGAGTGGTGCACCATCAAGTCTGATTTTTTAAATAAAAATACGCAAATAACACCTTCATATTGCAATGCATTTTTTGTGTTCACAGTGCTAATTCAACAAGTATTGAGCATCTACGTCTTGTTAGACACTTAAACTTTAAAATATAGCACAATTTCTTCATCCTCTTCTCCAAGCAGAGCCCTGAGCAAAGGGTGACCAGGGCCTGTCTTCCCGCCCAGAAAGTCTGAACTGGCCTTGCCAGAAACTCAGAAATGGCCGGAGGTGGCAGTAAGAAGCCTGATGGAAGTCAGGGTGGCTGCCAGGGGAATGAATAGTGGCCTCACACCCCACCTCGCCCCAGGTCAGAGGAGCCATCCTGGAGGAGGGGGAGATCAGCTGAACCATGAAAGACTACAAAGCTCACCAGGACCCGAGGTGCTCCAGCCTAGAGTCCGCCTTGGGCAAAGCAAGAGGCAGAGAGCCATGCAGAGTGCATGTTGTCACAGACGAATGGCAGATTGATCTGTGTTGCAGAGAGAGAGCGTACGGGAGAAGAGATAGTGCAGATCATTATCCTAAAACAGCCGCCATCCGTGCAGTGTATACTGTAAAACAGGAGTTGGACATCCATCCTTCAAACTAGGGTCGCGGCAATCCTGCGAGGTGGTGTTATTCCTCCCCTTTACAGAAGGGGAAAATGAGGTCCGGGATGGAAGGAGAGGTTCCTTGCCAGTGACAGGGCTGGGATGAAGTGACTGAGGAGCCAGCCTGCACTCTCAATGCCTTTTTTCTCCAGTATAATCCAAAACGCTGAATTGTCTTCAAATGCTGGCAGCTCCCCCAAGTATCTCCATGTGCCCCCTACTCTCCCTCCATCCTCAAATCCTCTAGCAACAGCTGCCTAGACCTCTCCCGCCTAGAGCTGTGCGGATGGCTGTGCACAGCGGGATCGTCCCCAGAGGAAACCCATCTCGGGAGCTGCAGCAGGGATTGTGGCAGAGACCCTCATCGCTTCCCAATATCCATTCTGCCCTTCTATAATATTAGAACTGAGGCTGAACCCACGGCTTCTTGGACCGCACTACATTTCCCTGCCTCCCTTGCAGCAAAATTCATCAATCGCCGTGGCGCCCAAAGCCCTTGGAAATCCACGATGCAGTAGCACTTCTGAGACTATGCTTTTCCTGCCACATCTATGATTTCTCAGATGTCCTTATGGGGTGGACCCTACTAACGCCACCTCAGTAATCTCAGCATCTTAACTTGTAAGAGAACCCAGCTTTCCTTCAGGTTGCCAAGCTAATGTGCTGGCTTTCCCAGAGGTCATTGCTGGAGTGGACACGCACATGATTCTGACCAATGAGATGCAGAAACAAGTGTCACGTGACACCATTCTGGCCAATAAGCTGTAAGGGGAAGTCCTGGGCTGGCACATGAAGGCAATGCCCTGTTTCTTCTGTTTTCTTCCTACTGTGAAGCTGGAGGTGGCGCAGTAATCTTAGGCCACAGGAAAAAAACAGGAGAGTAGGAAAAGCACTCACTCTGACTTGCCTAGCTTCAGATTTTTTCATTATATGAGAAAATAACCCTCTTGTTTAAGATATTCATGGTCAAGATTTATTACATGCAACTGAATGTAACCCTAGTAAATTCACTATTCTTTCCAAAGAAAAGCCTAAAAACCAATCTAGCCACCCATCTAATACAGGTGTTTTAGCAGAAAGAGGATGATTTTTGGTACCAGACAACCCTGGTTTGGCTTTCAGCTCTTCTGTTTGTGTTAGCTAGTGGTTGTGAGCAAATTGGTGAAATTGGATTATGTGTTGTAAAAGTAGAAGCTATCCTCAAAACACAACATGTAGTGCCTGGCATATGGAGAATGATTAATAAATGATGATTTAATTCTAATCTATCAGCTTGCAGCCTCCACCAAAAGGTTCCCTGGCAAAAATGTAGATTGAAAATCACATATTCATTTTCCAGTTTCACTCCTTGGACAAATCTTTTTGCCTGTTCAGATTTTAGATTCTTTGTAACAGCAAACTCAGTCTTTTTTCATTAAAAACCACCCTTTGCTTGGCATACTGTTTCTTCATTTCATTGACTGTATTTGCTCTCCCAGAACATTTTTAAAAAAAGGAAAAGGACAGAGGCACATGCTTTGTTTCCACCAGTCACGAATTATTACAGTATATTAGTTTGACAGGTAAAGTTGTATATTTCTATTTGGCTCATAGTTCCTTTTTAAGTGAGAAAATTCTAATGTCAGTGATTCTAGCTTTGTATTTTTAATTGCCAAAGAAGGTATTTTAGTGGTCTAGAAACATGTTTTTGTGGGAGTTAAATAGCATTAAAAATAATATTCTTCACTTAGTTTTTTATTGTTATTTTAGAGGGTTTTTTTAGGGGGGTCTGTTTTTGGTGCTAAGGATTAACCTAGAGCTTTGTGCATGCTAAGCATACATTCTACCACTAAGCTACAGCTTCAGCCTTCACCTAGCTTTTTGATACATGCTTTCAGTCAGTACAGAAGCTTTTAAGTAAAAAAATTAAAAAGTAGACATACTGTAGTATATTTAACCTATCTTCTATTATTGGACATTTAGGCATGTGTGGTTTCTCTTGATTGCAAACTACATGCCTTGAACATCTCTGTCCCTATGCTTTTGCCCCCTTACATAATCTCCTCACTCCCCTGCTTCCCCTCTGGTCCAAGCCATTATCTCTCTCTTGACTGGATTATTGGAATGCCCTTCCAAATGGCTCCTATGTTTGCCCTTGTCCTCCTTCAACACATTTGCAATGTAGTTGCTGGAACAGTCAGATGAAAATGTGGATCATATGACATCCCCTCTCTGCTCAAAGCCTTTCAATGCCTTCTCACTTGCCTCAAGGCCTTTGCACTTGTTACTTCCTTCTGAGAAGGGCGCTCTCTTCTGTATAACACATAATTTAATCCCTTCCCTTTTTCAGTTCTTACAGGAGTCTTCCCTGACCTCTGTTCTCAAGATTACAAAGTGCCTAGAAAGGGAACTTCCTTGTCCCCTTCCTTGCTTTCTCCTTTCAATTTGCACTTTCTAATCTACTGTCTCTTATATGTATAATTACCATCCCAGTCTGTGAGATTCAACAGGGTAGTGATTTTTGGTTGTTTTGTTTATTGTAATGTCTCTAGCACCCAACACAATATTTAAATACTTGCTGCGGACCAAAGTGCGTTTAGATAAGCTTTTAGAACTGCCCAATTGCCCTTTGAAAAGCTTGAGACAACATTCCTACCAACTGTGGATGAGCATCGTACATTTAACACTTTGACCACAGGCATTCTTCCTATGTTTTATTTGAGCAGTTGGTCAGTCAGCCTCAATGATCAACAAAAGAATCTATTCTAGCTAGTTTAAGCAAAACAGTAAATTATAAAGAGGGAAGTTCATAGACTCTCTGGGCAAACCAAAGAGCCAGATATGCCTTTGCAGATAGGAACAATGTACAGTCACACCTCCATGGCTGCTCCAGTGAAATTGTCTGGCTGGTGACTTTGGGCCACCCATTCAGCTTGCCCTGGTAGACCATCCATTCATTGCTTACACTGGCAGTGTCCATCCTGCAACTCATTCTGCTCTTAGCTATAGTTCTTGCTGTTGTTTACTTAGTTTGAGTCAGCACTCAACAATAATCCCTTAAGGCAACATCTTTCCCATTCTTTAATTTTTTTATCTTGAATTGTCCCTTAATTGTCCAGATTTTGCAAGTAATTTAGAGAGTACCCCTTTCTCTAAGTTCTTTCTTGCTTCATATCTATCAAATTATGCATTACTCTAATATAATTTATTATTAAAAATAGTCACCCTTTTGTCTTTAGCTCTGCTTCCTATAGTTTCTCAAGCTGATCTGCTATGTCATGACTCTTTCCTCACATATATCTATACTTCTGATTGCCTCTATTGTGGTTTTGAAAGTGGTTTTACTGTTGTACAATATTTCTTTCCTGGCTGATGCTGGCTAACTTCCTCTCTGCTCTGTAATTTTTCCTCCTGAAGTTCTTTTGCAAAGAAAGTATAGGTTCCTTTTAAGTTTTTTATGAATGAAATATTTTTCTTAAACACTCTTATAGAAGTGTCATTTGTTTAGTTGTACATGATTCATGTTGCATTCTTGAAGCTGACTGTTCTCTCTATATGAACACTCACAGTATGTCTAGTTCCTTTGGATTTTTTTGTTCAAAAACTATTTGGAAAGGCTCAATGGAATGAGCTGAAGTAACTGGCAGCTTCAACATGAGGATACTGCCTCAGACCACTGTCCCCAAATCATCTGTGTTGGCCTTTTCTCCACAGGACAGATTCCTCCAGGAGGGCAAGTTGCCCACATAGGAGATGGTGGTAGCCACTGTAGACTCCAAGATCATGGGTGTTTGGTCTAGTGATTTTGTGGTTAACTTTGCTTAAAGGACTC